TACAAATTGCTGTTGACGAAAATTATAAATTGCTGCTTTTTCGCTATGACAATTAGTCATTTTTGACCAATTCATTAAAATTTTTAAGAGAGCAAATAATTATTTTTCATCAGAACAAAGTTAACAATCTTCAACTAAGTATCAACAATCAAACACTTAGGCTAGTCCAATCAGTGAGTACTGATCGACAATAGACATAGACAATAAACATCAAAGAACATGTTAAACAAATGTATCTCCAGAACCAGCCAATTTAGATGTCTTACCTATAAGCATAATGGCATTAATCTCAAAACGGCCTTACACGGTCCCTCCGTTTTTAGATTATTTAAAATCTAACTTAAAAATTCTAAATGTAGCTATGACCAAAAATAATAATTATCTTTGGCTATGACATCTAAAATGAGAAAAATTACTAAAATGAGGCACCCGGGAAATCCCCTCCACAACCCTCCCAACACCCTCCTATATGAGAAATTAAAAATCGATTAGATTAAACTATATACCAACCACCTAGACCAAAGGTCAATTTTCTTTTGTATTTTTTGTAATTTATAATAATCAATAAATAACTATTATTATTTAATTTGTAATCCCGGCACATTCGCCATTTTTGTAAAAAAGGGTTTAATGGAAAATTACATTCAGTGTGACCCATTTGTTTGCGACTCACCCTTGTAAAATATTTATTTATTCTGCGATTTTAACCGGGTTGCGAGCGAGTGCTTAAATTAATGAGTGTAAAGAAAAGTTTATAAACGAGGTGCATACTATACTTTTTCTACGACAAATACTTATTATTATCTTAAAATGATTTAAATCAAAAATTTGTATAGAGCGCCATCTATGAAACAATAGGGGAATCTGTGTGTCACCGTCAAATGTCAAATTTTTATATTATAAAGGATATAAATCGAAATGTATTTCTTGAAAATTGGCAGTTTTTCACAGTGAAAGTAAAGAAAATATTTTATGATCACTTTTGTGTGCCCGAATTTAAGTTATAGTTTACTGCCGGCGAAATTAAAAGGTCAGTACACAATGTTCATATAAACTTTTTAAATACTGGCGTTGAGAAACTATTTAATACTTTTGTATTTTTGTATTAAGATAATAAAATAATTTTTACATTTAGTATTATTTTACAAAAAAGGCACTTTATTTTAATGATTGTATGACATTTGACAACTGTCGACTAACTTAAAACTAACTTCAGCCCGTGACTAAAAACCTGTTGCTAACTTCAGCCCGTGACTAAAGCGCCATAAAGCCACAACTTGTCAATGTGTATTTAAAAGGTCACTTAGTGACATGGAAACATGTACGATAAAGGGCGTTTTAAAGGTGGTAGTAGAAAAATTGTATTTTTGGAGCAAAAAACAACAAAAATATGGAGTTTTACTCAAAAAATACCGTTTATCAATACTTTAAAACAAATCCGGTTAAAATCGCACAATAAATAAAGAATTTACAGGGGTAGGTCGCAAATAAATGGGTCACACTGAATACACATTAGGGTGGAGAAAAATTTTGGAAAAAACATTGTTGAATCTTGCCTTTACATACATATTATGTGGGCCATTTTATTTATTATGTCTACAAAAACTGAAGATGATGATGGTGATGGTAAAAAACCAAAGCGTCCAAAGTTGCAATTGTCCACGTCGTTTCTTACTTAAGAAAATGTTGTTACCAAAAGAACCAGCTTCTTCTTTGATGTCCTTATTATTAAGGGAAAATGCAAAAGTGAAGAACTCCTAAAACCACCTCAGAATTGATTTGATCCGGTTTTCTTAAGAATTTTGTAAACAGTGTTGTAAGATTTAAGTTGTTAATAAGACAACCAGTTACTGACCAAGGACGAAGAACAGATGCAGTATATTCTTCTATTTTTGGAGCAAAAAACGCCATATTTTTACAAAATACAAGGCCTACTATGTCAGTTTTTAAGAGTAAAATTTTAAGAATTTATATTAGCGGTTTAAAAAATCTATGCACGGCACTGGATTCACCAACCCTCAAAACAACCGTTTACCAAATTTCATTGAAAATCTTTAAGTAGGAGCTGGACTTATATTTGTCTTGTATGTAGATATTGCATACAAAATAAAAAAAATCCCTGAGCTTAATTGTTATAAAATCCTAAACAAATTAGATTAAAACGTACTATGGCAAAATAAACCGCTTAATTTAGAGTATTACAATAATGATATTATACTCGTACATTAAGTAATATTATTAATATTATTCAAAAGCACGGCTTCAAAGGAAAATATTTGCATTAGATGTTATTACACATAGAGCAGAGCGGAGAAATGAAACAAAGCTGTTTGTTTGAAGAAAAAATGGTGCGCGCCTGTGTTCAGCACCGCTCCGCACCACCTCTGCGCTGTATGGAGAGAACAAAGCCAAAACTTCACTCATTGTAATATAATCCTGCTGGTTGGCATTAGTTCTTGCGGCCTGCGGCAGCAATATTTCATCCTTTGTGTCGTTCAGACATTATTTGCATTGCCTTTTGCCTTTCCATCATTTGAACTGAACATTACAATATATTACAGCGGATTTTCGCTCCTTCTGTGGCTGCTAAATTGACAATAAGCTATTAGTCGAGTCACGTGTCAAGGACCATTCTCTTTAGAAAATAAGTATACTCGTCAGAATTAATTTTGTTGTTTGGTTACTCAGCCCTTTGCTTGCTACAAACAATCTAAACCTATGCAAACTAAGTCTTGGTTTTGGAAAACAATTTGTACATTTCTTATAGGTTTTCAATCGAAAAAGTGGCTCAGTCTTAAACAGTGGAGAAAATTGACATTTTTAGTTTTCTCCACGGTAGTATTTATCATTACTACACAGAAAAAACTCTAGCATAGCATGAATGGGTGAGCCATTAAACAAATGGGATCTTGTAATCCGTATTCCTGAATAGCAGTTCCTATAATACCAATAGGTAGTTAGCACTTGGTTTATAAACGTTTACTGTTTTTAAATTAACAACAAAAGTTATCGCTTCTAAATCTATTGATATTTATATTGATATTTATTTTATTTTATGTTAGAATGTTATTGCATTAAATACTAATTTGATTTATTTAATAACTATACTAATAAACTAATAAATATACTACATTTAACGCAATAAATTATTTGTCATTTAGGCAATATGTTTCCCTATTATTATTTGGTCGGTAAACGTTTGGTGCGGTACCTTTGGCGAACGATTAATAGGACCCTTCTTTATTGACGGTGCATTAAATGGCGAAAAGTACCGAAATTTTCTAGAAAACGATCTGCCGGACCTTTTGAAGGAGGTACCACTAGCACGGCTCCAAAACATGTGGTACCAGCATGATGGTTGTCCTACGCATTATTCGGCAATTGCTCGAGAGGTGTTGGATCGGGGGTTCAATGGCAGGTGGATCGGTAGAAGTGGTCCAGTAAATTGGCCTGCTCGATCACCTGATCTTACGCCACCAGACTTATTCCTGTGGGGTTACTTGAAAGAAAAAGTTTACTCTGCAATTCCTACAACTCGGGAGGACATGGTGGAGCGGATCAGGAACGCCTGTGCGGCGATAACGCCCGACATGTTGGCGTGTTGTGTGCCAGAATTCATTACCCGCATTAAAAAATGTGTCGAAATGGAAGGACAAAATTCCGAACATTTGTTATAAATTGTTTTCAGAGCCGACTATTGTTGATTTAATGTTAATTTTTGTTTTTCAAACGTTTCAAGTAATACATTTTACAAGGAAACCCAATTTTCTTAAATTTTGAATTACAGCGCCATCTGTTGATAAATTGAAAAAAAGGTTCAAATAAAAGTTATTCATTTTTTTATGTACTACCAAAATCTGTAAAAAAAATTGGGTCATTCCATTTGACTTTATAAAGTTACCCCCGTTTCACCCTTAAGGAGAGGTATGGGGTGGCTAGAGGTAGCATCAAATAATGTTCCCTTTGGTCACATTAACCTTTTATTTAAGACATTTTTCCGTGAAATGCTAATTTCTCGAGATATTGAGCTATCTCAATACTCTTATCGTATTTTCTGGAAAGGCGTATTTTTGGCGTTAATTTGTGTTATTGGAGTGAACCCTATTCAAAAGCGATTTATGGGGCTCTTTTGCATTGGGATCACTTTTTTGTGTATATTATGACACGGAGGCTTCATCGATGCTATTTTTTGGAGCTATACTACTTTTAGTGCGTTGAGAGTAAAATTTTAGTAGGCGTCGCGACGGAAGAGACTTCAGGTTCAAGATAGAAGATCGCAGGAAACGGTGTGAAGTGTCGTTAGAGCTTACACCGTCTCACGGAAAATGTGAAACGCTTTTAAACGCCTGTAAGTATTGGGAGAGCATGAAGTCGCAGAGGTAAGTCACGTTGCGTGTTCTGCAATATTATCCAGGTGGGCCCATGGGGGCAAAAAAATGACAGGACACATCTGCACAATGGCTTAAAATTTAAAAATGATGAAAAAATTTGCACAGTAGGATAAATATAAAAAATGGTAGAAAAAATTTGCACAGTGGCATAAATTTAAAAAATAGTAGGACAAATTAATTACAAAAATAGGTATCTAAAATATTCAAAATTTTTAAAATTATTAGTCAAAACTTTAATTGTTTAATTTTTTTACTTACATACATTATTTGCATAAGAAACAATTTTTTTATATTAGATTTATTTCCGAAAAGTTTGATGCCTCAATAATTGGAAGAAATGGCTTTATAAATTGAGCGCTGGTCATGTGATTTAAAAATATTTGATAACTTTTGTTTGGTAATACATCGAATCAAAGTGCATTCCAATAATTCAACGACTGAAACCAACATTTAACACGTATGTGCTAAGCAGGGTTCACAAATATAAGAAATAAGAAATGAGAAATGAGAAATGAGAAATGAGAAATGAGAAATGAGAAATGAGAAGTGAGAAGTGAGAAGTGAGAAATGAGAAGTGAGAAGTGAGAAATGAGAAATGAGAAATGAGAAATGAGAAATAACAAGAAACAAGAAACAAGAAACAAGAAACAAGAAACAAGAAACAAGAAACAAGAAACAAGAAACAAGAAACAAGAAACAAGAAACAAGAAACAAAAAACAAGAATAAAGAAACAAGAAACAAGAAACAAGAAACAAGAAACAAGAAACAAGAAACAAGAAACAAGAAACAAGAAACAAGAAACAAGAAACAAGAAACAAGAAACAAGAAACAAGAAACAAGAAACAAGAAACAAGAAACAAGAAACAAGAAACAAGAAACAAGAAACAAGAAACAAGAAACAAGAAACAAGAAACAAGAAACAAGAAACAAGAAACAAGAAACAAGAAACAAGAAACAAGAAACAAGAAACAAGAAACAAGAAACAAGAAACAAGAAACAAGAAACAAGAAACAAGAAACAAGAAACAAGAAACAAGAAACAAGAAACAAGAAACAAGAAACAAGAAACAAGAAACAAGAAACAAGAAACAAGAAACAAGAAACAAGAAACAAGAAACAAGAAACAAGAAACAAGAAACAAGAAACAAGAAACAAGAAACAAGAAACAAGAAACAAGAAACAAGAAACAAGAAACAAGAAACAAGAAACTAGAAACTAGAAACTAGAAACTAGAAACTAGAAACTAGAAACTAGAAACAAGAAATAAGAAATGGCGTTTTAGTACCAAGAAACAAGAAACAAGAAACAAGAAACAAGAAACAAGAAACAAAAAACAAGAAATAAGAAATGGCGTTTTAGTACCAGGCTGAAGTTAGCAACAGTGACATTTAGCCGTTTTAGTCACGGGCTGAAGTTATCTTTTTATAAGTTAATTAATAAAGAAAAAGTGAGGTTAAATCAATTGGAAGTTGACAGATAAAATTGGAATTAAATTCTTCTTTGTGCTCATCGTAGATAAAGTATAATATGCAAATCTTTTCATAAACTTCTCTACACTATTTTTTATTAAAAACTCTAACTAAAATTGCGTTTATAAAACTTGATACGTAATAATATATTATACTATTTCTGTAGAATATTTTTTTTATAAAATATGCTCATAAATAAAACCATTTGCATATTTTTTCCTCAAGCCAAAGTCTTTTTATACGCTTTTAAAGTTCGAGCGCGCTTAATGGTAAATTCTCAAATAATTTAATATTATCTGCAATCGTCCACCCCCTAATAACATCCTAAATATCAAATTGCTCGAACCCGTCATGTGATTTGCAATTTACACTGGGGCATTTATAAACACCTTTCATGTCACCCCATCGATGATTTCACCAAAGGGAATTGATTTAATTTCAAGTCACTCCTGTTGTATTTCGCAATTTTCTAGGCGGGTGGCACCAGATCTCGGGGTGTTTTTATCTACATTAAATCGGTGTTATTAATCTGGTACTCAAGTGACACTAATTCAACAGTGATTAAATCATTTATTCAATTAAAATTAGGATTTGTTTAGCAGAAAATACATAGGTACATTGAAATTGGAAATAAATTAGTTGGATTAGGTACAAATCCTATTTGTATTAAATACAAATAAAAATTTTAAATAAACCAAATATGCATTTTGATCAATGTCAGAGATCGAACCTCCCATGAGGTTTAATTATAATTTTTACTTGAGATACTGAAAAATACCCTAAAAATACATGTATGTATTTTTTTATGAAATTTGATAAAACCCCTCAGGAGCAGGAGTTAGTTGACAGTTGTCAAATGTCATATATGATTTATTTTAACGATTGTATACAATCGTTAAAATAAAGTGCCTTTCTTGTAAAATAATACTAAATGTAAAAATTATTTTATTATCTCAATACAAAAATACAATTGTATTGTATTGTACAAAAGTATTAAATAGTTTCTTGACGCCAATATTTGAAAAGATTATATGAACGTTTGTATTAACCTTTTGATTTCGCCGTAGTAGTGCAGTTAACTAGATTTAACTGGTATAGATAGCTCTATAGAGCCTTAAAAATTTTGCGTTCAGTGCCCATAAAACATTTTCTTCTCTTTTATTGTGAAAAACTGCTTCTATATTGATTTTTAGTCTATTTTCAAGGGATAAATGTTGATTTACACAGACAAATTTGATATTTGAGACGGTAGATTCCCAAGTCAGAAATTTTAACGTAAATTCCAATAAATAAAAACTATCACTTTTTGTACCTTTAACATTTCCCGTATAAGAATTTTTAATACTTTGTGATAATATTTTGCAATTATAGTAGTAAAAAAAATCAAAGGATAAAATATTTTCTTAAGTTATTTTAACATTTTAAAGTATCAATAACTGTTAAGATTAATTCAAATAATAACTGGGGATGTTAATGATGAAAATTACGTCAAAAATGTTTATTTTATGGTTACTTTATTTTCGTATACAAATATTTAATTTAAATAATTTTTTAGATAATATTAAGTAGGTATTTGTCGAAGAAAAAATATAACTAGTTTATAAATTTCTCTAGGCACTCATTTAATTAAGCAATGGCTCGCAAGCTCGCTCGTGCCTAAATTAAATTCGTGACTAAAATGGCGTTTATAAAATTTGATACATAATATACTATTATCTACTCCTACATTAACGAGCTGTCACTTTATGGCGTTTTAGTCACGGGTTAAAGTTGGCTTCATTATAAATTGGGAAAAAGTTAGGTTAAATCCCTTGACATTTAACAGATGTCAAATTTTTAACAAATGAAATTGACTTTAAATTTTTTTTGTGTTCGTCATAGATAAAGTATAGTATACAACTCGTTTTATAAACTTCTCTATAGATACTAGTTTTTATTAAACACTCGCTTGCAAACTTCTCTGCTACCTAAGAAAACTCGTAACTAAAATGGCATTTATAAATCTTGATACATAATATACTATACTGTTAAGAACTTCTTATATACAACCCTCTGAAAATGAATCACAACTGTTTGATGGTGAATGTTAATTCCTCAACCATGTGTAACTTATAAACAGTGTTGTAACAGTTACAATATTTTCAGTATCTAGCTACAGTTACAGTTAATTACCAAAATTTGTAACTAGATACAGATACAGATACATATTTTATTGCAGTAACTATAGTTACAGATTACAATCTGTAACTATAGTTACAGATACAGTTACCTTTAAAAAGTATCTAGATACTTTAAGATACATACAAATTAATTTTTGCTTTAAAAAAATTAAAATAGAAATAAAAGGGAATTTTAAAGTGACAACAAAAATATACATGTTTATTATTTTTATTTTTTTTTATAATATTTAATTTAAAATAACTTATTTTTTTAGCATTAATAACATCAAAATTATCATCCGATAATCTGTTTCGTCTAGGTGTTAGAAGCTGCCCCCCCTGTACTAAAAAGCCTTTCTACTGCTGCTGATGGTAAAATTGTATTGTAAATTTTAAAGATCTCTAGTATAACTTTATACTTTTCCACAAAAACAAACTTTAACTGTCAAAAGTGCAGATTACAGAAAACTGTATCTACCACGGTTTTTAAAACCTTTTATAACCAGTTTAGTTTATTTCTTTACTTAACGGAAGTAAATTTGTTAAAAAATAATAATAATAATAACAATATGACCATATATTATATGGACATACTGTTGGATGCGTTCAGAAATTAAAAATTGTGGAAGTGGACGTGTTTTCCTTGTCTCAATAAATAATAGTCGCAGTTTAATTAAAAATGTATCTTTGTATCTTAACAAACCTAAGTAGTTACTTAAAATTTGTAACTAGGTACAGATACATAAAAAGTATCTAGATACTGTATCTATAGATATGTAATTGTAACTAGATACGTTACAACACTGCTTATAAATATAGTGCATATTATAAAGTTGAGTGCATTTTTGACCCAAGATTTTTCATATTTTGCTCTGATGATGGAATTAGGAGGTTCCCTATGTATATTAAATACATAGGGTACATCCTAAAAATTTTACACCATGGTCTTAGGAACTTTTTTCATATTTTTGCTGTAAAATCACCCCTTAAAATTTTTAAATGGAAATCTAAGACACCCTCTATACAAATCTTGCTCAAATATTTTCATGATGTTCGGTGTTGGTCAACCAGAGCAGGGTTCAGCTTTGACATCAACATTTTCAAAACTAACGAAACAACTTTTTTTTTTTGAAAAATAATTATAATAATTATTATTAAAACTTATTTCTATAGATACAGTTTAGCATAGGGAGTATTTTAAAGTACTTCTATCCTATCCTATTTTATATTTATTAAAAAATATTTAGTGCTCGGATTAAAATTCAATATAAAATCTCCTAACCACTAAAAATTATTCGTATATTGTTGGCGAACCGATGTTCAAGAGTCATTAATGCATTTATGAAAGTACAGCAACCTTTTTGCGATCCCTATCCTTATTTAAACCTTTTTCCTCGACGTTCATGAATTAATCCTTATTGAGAAGGACCCTTCATTCTCTATTTGCTCACAGCTTGGCGCCTGGGTTACACCACTTGCCGTGCCAATTCAAAGCTACTGTGAAGAACAGTGGGACAATACAAATTTTTAGGAGAGGGTTGATATTTTTATTTTAATAAAGTACAAAAATCTAATTTTATTTTCAAGTGGTCTATAATTTCAACTTTATTATTGTGGTCATAGGTCAAAGGCCGAAACACACAGTAGTTTTGGATTTTGACTAAGAACTCTAGTCGGACATGAGGATAAACTCCCAAAATTAAAAATAAGATAAATGAATTATTTATTAATTAATTTAATGGGGCATGTAGGACCACTTTTTGAAAATATTTTTAAAAAAGTGCGAAAAGATACTCAATTAAAAGAATCTTTACATGAATAATATTGATAAAGTTGTTACTCTTTCAAAATATATCCTAATTATAAATATAGATTTTAATATTTAAATAGTATTCACGGTGTCCCTAAATAACTTTTAATTGAAAGGTTCAGATGTATCCGATTTTTTTTTCATATTTTGATAAAAAATCACTGACAAGACAATTTTTTTTTCAGGATAAACTTAATTCGCTTGGCACTTTTTTAGAAAAATCAATTTTTATAAAAACATTAATGATTTTTAATCAATTTTTTGAGAATTTTAATTAGTGAACTCCAAATAATGACTATCAGCTTTTAATGTATTTGTTACATAAAATGTGCAATTCATTAGACTAGTGAACTATTGACTATGTCACTTGTCACATGTCACATGTCGAAATCGTAATTGAAAATACCGTTGCGTTCTTTTACCGTTTTTTTTTCAATTTGTCGCAGATTTATTTATAAATTAGATATAAATAATTATATTTGCATAGATTATAGTAGGTATATAGTGCAATAAGGCTAATAAAAAACCATGCATGGACTCACTCGGATAATCACAATTGTTTGTTTTGTCTTAAAATATGTGGAAAGATTCTGGAAAAAGTTCAAAGCATAGCTTTAAGTCCGAAACATTAGCAGCAGTTACTATCGCTCTTTAAAAAAAAAGAAAAAAGAAAGAGCGATAGTAACTGCTGCTGATGTTTCGGACTTAAGTTTCACTAATATCGTTTTCAATATTTTCTTCTTTTACTCCAGGTTTACATTTATGTTTTTACCG